CTTCTTGATGGTACAAAATACTGTCAGGGTTACTCTCTTTCTCACCACAAACTTTTGTCATAATCTTATTATAATTAAAAGGTTCTATTTTTATAAAATTAACAATAACATCCTGTGGCACTCTGTGCACTTCTGCTTTCAACTTCATTATTTCAATAACTTCCCCTTCAATGACTGAGCAAAGAAAGTTCACACGTATCACTCATCCCTAAATCTTTGTAAATTCTAACCAAAATAGCTATTCAGTTAGAAGAAATGTTTTCAGTTTCCACAAAACATCATGCATCCTTTTTTTTTATAATTTTATTTATTTATTTATTTTCCCCCAAAGCCCCAGTAGGTAGTTGTATGTCATAGCTGCACATCCTTCTAGTTGCTGTACATGGGACACGGCCTCAGCATGGCCAGAGAAGCGGTGCGTCAGTGCGCGCCCAGGATCCGAACCCAGGCCGCCAGCAGTGGAGCACGCGCACTTAACCATCAAGCCACTGGACCGGCCAACATCATGAATCTTAAAGAAATAATTTATTACTGAAAATATGTCTTTTCTGCAATATATTTCTTTAATGGTTCTTATAAAATAAGTTTTCCATGGAATTCCATAATTGAAACCGATTTGGCAAAATGTAATCATCTGAAGCTTTTTACATTCATCTCTAGTTTCAAACATTCTCACTGTGTTGTTTCTTTGAATCTTCAGCAATGTTTTCCATGCATCTTCCACCAGAATTTGCTGATGAGAACTGCATTTAGTTTGTTTTCCTGTTTTTCTGTCTATCCTCATACCCATTTTTACTGCAGCAGAAAGAAGAACTGCTTCCCCAGTGGTACGTGGCTTTTTATTTTTGTCTTTCGTTATTAAGTCAAAACAATTCTCAACATTATGGTTATCTATTTAAACTTAGTTAAGTACTGCCATGAGATTTGTATTACTTTAAAAATCCCTGAAAAAGGCTGTAGAGTTTTGGCTACATGTTCTGGATGATTAGTTTTGATATGTTCAGCTAAGAGTGATGGCCTTAAATTATCATTAGTTAATATCTCATGGCACAATATATATTTAGGACAAGGCTATATAACTTATTTCATATACTCTTATTGGCAATGTTAAATTATTTTGGTCTACTTATTTTAGAACAATTTTTAAAAAATCACTATTTACCTAAAAATGTGGCTGATGAAGAAGAGGAAAGTTGTCAGAAACACTTGGCATATATTACACAGTGTAATTCTAGGCTATTTTTGCCCAGGAGAAAAGGTCGAGTTATGTTTATACTGAGACTCTGAATCAGAGCTCCACTTGATTTAAAGGGCCCTCATGATGTAATCTGATTCTTCTGTGAGAACAATTGGTTTTTGCTCCTTAAAATGAAGGTTTAAAATTGGATTGATAATCAAGTGGCTCCTGCCATTAAAATAAAAAGAAAAGAAAAATCCAAATACATAAAGAAGTTGGCAGTGCTAATGTCTCACTGCCAAAGGGCTCCTTAAGCAAGCTATTGATAAGATTGCCTCTTTTTAAAATAGTGAACCTCAAGTTTTGCTGTGGAGGCTGGATACTTAAATGTTAGTTTAATGATAAATAAACGCTTATGATTATAGTTAGTAACTAGACAAATGAGGGGACAGAGAAATGAAAAGTCAGAATGTAAGGTATAGTAAAACATAACAAAACCATCTAAAAACAGCATCTCTAGAACTATAAAATGTCACTAGAAACAAATCAATGTACATGAAACTACTTTGACAAAGATTATAAACCTCTAACAGACATACAAGCATTTTTGCCACTTTATGTAACAGGTTTCCAGAAGGTACAAAGGAAAGAAAAATGTTCTCATGACAACTTATACTAAAATTTCAGTGACTAGTTCCACAGAGGCAGTTCACCTATTTGTAAGGATATTTTATACAGTTCCTCAGACACTAGAATAAAATCAATCTCCTGAGCATCTTAGCAAAGGAGTTGCATTTGCCAAGTTTATAGGGCAGTCTCAAAATGATACTGTTCTACCCATCCTAACTTTGCCCCACACTGGTGAAACTGTCATGACCCACTGGGGTGAGCATGTTAGATGGAGGAGAGTGATTAGGAGGAGGGATCCTAACTCTCATCAAATTTATGATATTGTCATTTATACCACAGAAACCCTTGAGGGGCAGAGGTTCTTAAAGCGTAGTGCCTGGACTGGACCAGCAGCAGCAGCATCACCAGCAAACTTGTTAGAAATGCAAATAATTGGGCCTCACCCCAGACCTAGTGACTGAATCATTCCAAAGGTGGGGCCCAGCAGCCTATTTTAACAAGTCTACTAGGCGATTCTCACGCTTGTTGAAGTTTAGGAACCATTGCTCTAAGAAAATATTTTCCTTCATAACATTTATTAAATACATAAAGTAAATGTCCCCATAAATTGTACAAAAGCAAGCAAGATTTACCCACTGGAAACCACCTTTTGGGTAACATCACACTTGAAATATTTAAATATTTCACATACAACAATGAATAAAGAATAAATTAATAAATAATCATGTACGCACTACCTAGCTTAAGAAAATAAAAATTACAAACACACATCACGCATCCTATACATCCTTCTCATGCCCTCTTTGTATTCTTACTATGCGTTCCACTACTTAGGCATACATGTATATAATTTTTAAATTTACTTATTTACAAAAATTTATAATATCTTCATATTCTTCATATCCTTTTTTTAACTTGCTATTTTTCTTAGCACTTTTTGTTTTTGTGGTTTATCCCTGTTGCTATGTATTGTTCCTTTTCACCAGTGTATAAAATTCCACTGCATGATTATGTAGGATTTTCAAGTCTGTGATGGGCGGCTGTTGAAGTTACTTCCATTTCTTTTTCACTATTACAAATGTTGTTGCTATGAAGTTTCATATAATCTTCTTCACATGTGTAAAAGTTTCTCTAAGGTGCAAACTTAATGGAATGCCCTAGGACATCCACACTTTCAAATTTGCAGGACATTGCCAGACTGATGTCTAACATGGTTCAATCCACATTACTACAGCAGTTCAAATATTTCCAGTTGCTCTACACCATTTTTAATACTTGGACTTGCAGACTTAATTTTGGTCAATCTGATTGGTATGGAATAAAATTGTATTGTGGTTTTAATTTTTACTTTTGTCATTTAGGTTTCCTTTTCTTTTCATATCAAATTTATATTTGCTCCTTTTTTTTCTTTTATTGATTTATAGTATTTCTTTATATATTCTGGACCACATTCTTTTTCTGTTAACATGTTATCTTCTTTTGGTCTGGAGCTTCCTCTTTCATTTTCATGTCTTCCTTAGAAGCACAAGGTTTTAAATTTTAACTAAAAAACAATTGATCTCTTCCTTCATAGTTCAACTTTTTTGTGTCATATTTAAAAAATTCTTCCCTAGCCCAAGGTCATAAAATTATTCCATATTTTCTTCTAAAAGTTTTAAAAAATCACCTTTCAGATTTAGGTCTTTCATCCCTCTAGAAATGGTTTTTGTGTGGTCTTTATAAGAATCTATTATTTTTTTCACATGGATAATCAATTGTCCCAGCCCATCCTTTCAATGTCACCTCTGTCCTATATTAAATTTCCTACATGAGTGGCTCTATTTCTTCTGTTTTGTTCCACTAGCTTGTCTATCGCTACTTCAATACCACAGTGTCTTACTTACTATAGTTTTATAGTAAGGTTTTATATCCGCCAAAGCAAGCCCACTCCCACTCCTTCTTATTCCTGAGGATTGCTTAGGCCATTCTTAACCCTATGCTTTTCCAGTTTTAAGAAACACAAAACGGAAAGGGCTCAGATGACAGCACTCTGAGCCTCCCACCTCTACTTTTTTTTTTTTTTTTAAAAAGTTTATTTATTTAAATTTTTCCCCCCAAAGCCCCAGTAGATAGTTGTATGTCATAGCTGCACATCCTTCTAGTTGCTGTATGTGGGACTCGGCCTCAGGATGGACGGAGAAGTGGTGCCTCAATGCGCACCCGGGATCCGAACCCGGGCCACCAGCATTGCAGCGCGCGCACTTAACCACCAAGCCACAGGGCCGGCCCATCCACCTCTACTTTTGAAGAAAAGCTTCCTCTAAAAATAAGTTGGCAAACACTGTCTCAACCCATTTATTTCTCCCCACAACCCTTAGGGCTTGCTGAAGAAACTGAGTTTCATAGGAGTTAAGTGACTTGCTCAGTCCAAAATCCATAATAAGGAAGTAACAGTGCTAGCATTTAAACCTTGGACTAATTCCAAATTCCATATTCTGGCTACTATGCCATACACAAAACTGAAAGAGAAGTCTAAGTTTAGTACTAGTAAATAAATAGTGAGGAATACAATGAGGAACTAGAATTTTTTAAAAATTACATAAAGATTACCATTACTTAACACTCTTACAAAAAAAACCTAGTAAGGTATAGCAGGGTGTGAATGGGAAATATCTTAGAGGGAGAAATAGGTTAAGATAATTTACAAATAGGTTCATCACTGTCAGCCAACAGCAGCTTATTTCCATAGTCCCTTTAGCTCTGAAATTATACAAATCTTAGTAGTCTACTTTAATGAAGATATTTAAAAAGATTTACCGTTTGTATTAATATAAAGAATGAAACCAAGAATGAAAAAGTTTTTAAAAGCTTTTGCAAAACTAAAATGTTGTCGGGCCTGCCCTGGTGGCCTAGTGGTTAAGTTCAGTGTGCTCCACTTCAGCGGCCCGGGTTCAGTTCCCAGGTGCAGACCTACACCACTGGTCAGCGGCCATGCTGTGGTGGTAGCCCATATACAAAATAGAGGAAGATATGCAACAGATGTCAGCTCAGAGCGTATCTTCCTCAAGCAAAAAGAGGAGGATTGGCAACGGATGTTAGTTCAGGGTGAATCTTCCTCAGCAAAAACAAAACAAAACAAAAAGAACCACACACTAAAAAAAAACAAAAACAAAAAAACTAAAATGTTGTCATGAGAGAGGCATAATAAACTTACCTGCATCAAATACTGTGCGCCTTCTCTCAAGTCATCTGCATGTACTGGAGCATAAAAAGCCTTCATTTTGTTTTTAATAAGCCATCGCTGGTATCTCGCTTGATCAATGGACATCTCTTTCATGGCCTGTCTTCGAGGGCCCTTTAAGGTAAAAATATTAATAATATCTTTAATTGAAAGGTAATCTATTCCACATTTATAAAAATCATCCTGTTATACTTTAAACAAGATGCCTAAACATTGGGGGTGGGGGAGAGAAGTATAACAATAGCATTTCATTTTCACGTCAGTGAATTCTTTCCAATACTTAAGATTATGAAAAGATAGCGTTGATGGAACAGTTAAGGTACAGGAGGTGCCGGGAGAAGGGAGAACAGGACGAAACACAGACTGAAAAGTACATAAGTTTTTGATACTAAGTAAATGAGAGAAATTAGAAACTACTGAAAATGGAAGATTATGCAGAGAAAAATAAGAGCCTTCTGTTTTTCTACAGAAAGTTTCCCAGCTTATTTTTTGTTTGTCCCAAATGTATGAGTTACTCATTCTCAGTAACTTAGAAACAGCAATGAAAATAAAAGTGAGCTATATAACATAAATGCACTTTTTCTTCATACTTTTATTAAATGAAGAAATAACAGAAGAAAGGAAATGAACTTTAACTTGCAATTCTATTTTGATCTTTGCAAGCAACACATAAAATGTGTTCTACACAAATGTACAGAGCAAAAATGTAAAAGTTTAAGAGTACACCCTAATTAAACATGAATAAGGAAAGGAAAAATACAATTTATCTTTCCCAGTTGGGAAACCAGCCCATTTGTAATTTCTTATGCTCAAGATTCCAACTTGAATTGATCAACTTGAAGATAAACTAGAAAACTCCACAGGTCCTAAGTGGGGTCAGTGTCTCAATGTGTCCTTCCACCACCCAACACACATGCATACACACACACACACACACACACACACACACACACACACACACAGCTTTGACTTTGCTACTATACAAGTAGAAGAGCAACTCTAGCAGGAGCTGGGACATGAGGCACACAACGCACACTTCTAGCATCAAAACCAGATGAACAATAGAGCTTGGGAGAAAAGGTAATCTGACGCATAAATATTCCCATTTCTTATGCAGAACAGGTGATCCATCATCTAGTGACTATTTTCAATAGCCAGGATGACAAAAACAGAAAACTACTTTTGGATAAAAGTTTACTACTATTTTTAATAATTTTCTTCCTCATGGTTAAAACAAAAATGGGCAACTAAAAGCATTTGAACTTGAAAATTCAGCATTCATTCTGCTCTTCTTACATACCAGATACTACATATTTATCGCGATTTGTCTACCTCCTCCAACCTCTTTTTTTCTGGTAAGTAAATGTTTCCAGGACTTGATGAGAAATAGCAATAAGAAAAAAAAAACATACTGAATTTCATTTAGGCTCCTTAGTTATCAAGAAGCTATTTTTCTTAGCCAAACTGTTCTATAAGGGCAATGTGGTTTGCTAAAATCAACTCATAATAAGAAAAATGATGAAGATGCAAAATTCCAAAATCTTTTTAAAAATGAGGTTTTGAGACACTTTGGAGGCAAAAATATTTTGAAGAAAATAACTACTGTAAAAAAAAAACCCAAACAAACTCAATAGATTTGTTTATCTTGTCAAATTATTTCAGATCTAGAAAGTTGCACAAATATTTAATATAGAAAACTAACACTTACCATATGTACATGACCACAGATCATCAAACCAACATTTTTTGTGAAATCATGAACAAGATGAAGTAAAGCTGGCCGTGAGTTGGGAGCACCTGTCATAACAAGACACTGTGGCCTAATTTAAGATTAAAAAGAAAAACAAAATCAGAGAAGTTTAGGTTTTGGTAATATGGACACGATTTTAAGTTGTTTCTCTAAGAATACATTACGACACTAGAATCGCCTTTATGCAACTGTCCTCAAGACACAGGCCACAGGATTCTCATAGATGACTTTTAACCGGAGTTTCTTGCCACATGAGAAATACAGAAACAAAACCTTGGAACAAACATCATGCCAAATGTCCTTCTAAAATAATAGACAGGGCCGGCTCCATGGCTTAGCGGTTAAGTGCTCGCGCTCCGCTGCTGGCGGCCCGGGTTCAGATCCCGAGTGCGCACCGACGCACTGCTTCTCCAGCCATTCTGAGGCCTCGTCCCACATACAGCAACTGGAAGGATGTGCAGCTGTGACATACAACTATCTACTGGGGCTTTGGGGGAAAAAATAAATAAATAAAATTTAAAAAAATAAAATAAAATAATAGATAATCTTATACATCAAGATTCTGGCAGGTACTATAGAAAGAAACGACCATGCTAGGTACAAAATAGGTAACAACTTTTCATCTTCTAAAGATAATTCCAGTTCTTTCACAGAATTCACCAAACTTCCTGAGAGCATGGCCTTGCCTTCATGTACAAAACAGGTCACTTGGGCCGGCCCCGTGGCTTAATGGTTAAGTGTGCGTGCTCTGCTGCTGGCGGCCCGGGGTTCGGATCCCGGGCGCGTGCCCACGCACAGCTTCTCCAGCCATGCTGAGGCTGCGTCCCACATACAGCAACTAGAAGGATGTGCAGCTATGACATACAACTATCTACTGGGGCTTTGGGGGGGGAATAAATAAATAAATAAAATTAAAAAAAAAAAAACAAACAGGTCACTTTCCTTCTTAACTTGATCATATCATGATTACTTCTACTTTGTAATATCAGCCCTCTTTAAACTAGGCTAATTTTAATGACCATTGCCACATGAGTAAAACCACCTATGGTGAAGAAAAGGTTTCTACTTGAACTACAAGTTTTAATTCTAATTAATTATGGTGAAAGACAAAATTGAATTTAATTGCCTCTGCAAACACAAGAAAGTGGCATGACTTTTATATACTCTTAAACTCTTGATTTTTGCTGACTAGAAATGGAAATCAATCTTATTTGATGAAAAAATATTCAGGCATCCATTTTATAAGTTCAAACAGATTAGCAAAAATTCTTTAAAACAAGAATTTATATAAGTAGGATAAACTTGAGCAAAAAAGCAAATAAACTAAAATTTCTGACTTAACCACTAAATTAATTGTTAGGGTAGTTCCTAAGCTATACTCATAAAATAAGCATGAAAACCTGAATAAGGACTTAAAAAAAAAACAAAAAAAAAACTAACATACTCAGAATTTTAGCCTGCTATCTGAAAAGCCAATTATGTCTGGGAGAATTGCTTTGGGACAATCAAACATGAAACCATCCCCTGTGGCCCCGACTGCTAATAGTCCAGTCTCCCCATCTGAACTTTAGCAGGTTACATGGCTCCCAGCTAGAGATTATATTTCCTAGCCTTCCTAGCAGCTAAAAGTGGCCCTCTGACAGATTTACAGCCTCTACGATGTTCCCATTGCCAGGTAATGTCCTTTAAAAGGGAAGCTGCCACCCTCCATACTTTCCTTCCCTTTCCTGTAAGCTAGACACATGGATGAGGTGACTGATGACTTTGACCACATGGAGAAAAACATCTAGGCAATGGCAGACTGACAAGATACAAGCAATGTGGGACGTGAATGACCAAGTGCAGCAAATCTGCCTACTTGCCACGAACCATCCATCTACCTCTGGAATATCATACAACATTGATGTCTGTCTTGTTTAGCCATTGTATTTGTTCAGCTTTTTTCTTACAGTACTTTAATCTACACCCTAACTAATATAACCTATTACTGTGGAAAATTAACCATAGTCTCTATCTTTACCAAATAGTGAACATACCAGAAAGGCATAATTTGGTATAGTTTTATCATACCAAAAAAGGTACAGTATAAAACATATTAGAGATGACTGAGTAACAATGACACAGCTTGAACATTTGCCTTCTGCGATACTGTGATTTATAAGAAATATATATATTTAGTCATTCAGATGACCAAAATATATTTCTCAGATATATTTGCTCTTCATCCACAGTTCCTGAAAATGCTTCAGGGCCATAAAGATGAAATCGGTGTCTTGTTTATGTTAAAGGAGGTCACCAGGAGAACCAGCTACGTGATCAGAAGATTGGAACTTTCAGTCCCACTGCCCTGATTTCTGGGGAGGGCAGGCCAGGGGTTTGAGGTTGAATCAACCACCCATGGTCAACGACTTAGTCATTCACAACATAAAGAAGCCTCCATAAAAACCCAAAAGGACAGCTCGTCAGTTCCTTTTTTCAGAGAGCTTCCACGTTGGGGAACCAGAACATTTAGACACACCACGGTGCCCAGCTCCAGGCTCCACAAGGACATAAGCTCCTTTGTTTGGGACCTCGCCTTAAGTATCTCTTCACCTGGCTGTTGATTTTTATCCTTTGTAATAAATTGGTGATCTAGTGAGTAAACATGTTTTCTTGAGTTCTGTGAGAAATTCTAGCAAATAAATTGAACTCAAGGAGTGGGTTGTGGGAACCTCTGGTTTATAGCCAGTTGGTCAGAAACAGAGGTAGCAACCTGGGCTTGCAACTGGTGTCTGAAGTGGAGGGCAGTCTTGTGGGACTGAGCCCTTTACCTGTGGAATCTGATTCTATCTTCGGGTAGATAAGTGTCAGAATTAAGCTAAATTCTCAGACACCCTGCTGGCATGCATGAACTACACACACACGCACACGCACACACACACACACACACACAACATGTTGGAACTGAGTTGAGGAACCCATAAGATATAACGAGATTTTTTAAGGCATAAAATCAAAAAAATGTGGAGAACAGGAGAGGACACAAGAGCATTGAAATATTGAAAGCCAGAAAGCAGACGGAAAAACAATAAAGGACTGACAAATCAGGAAAAGGCTAAATCCTAAAATGAGCATAAGAGAAAGTTGTAAAGCTACCTAATTTTACACCTAAAAATCACGAAAACGGCTAAGAGTTAGAGGCAGTATGCCTCTGGAAGTGACAGGGGCAATGTGTTAAAGAAACTAAAATAAGAAGGACTGGTTTAACGTGTGCATAAGAAGCAACTAGATAAACCAAATCACTTCCATCATCACGATGGGCAACTGTCCCCATCCCTCCCCAGTCCTATTAGGCTCGGGCTTATTTGCTAGAGAGGGCTTCTGGTCTGGGAGACACTGGCAACAGCTAAGGGCCGAAGTAGCTACTTTAAACAGGGGAGTTAGGAGAATATTTATATGCTGAATCCCGAGATCTGTGACCTTTCCGACCTGGCTCTCAGAACTCTGGTGGCCAGGACTTTATCAAAAAGCAGAAAATTAAAAGATTCTTTTCTCGGAAGATCTAATCAGATCAAAAAAGAAAGCCTTTAAGATGACTTAAATTTCTAAAAGAACCAGCAAAGCCACATTAATCTACACTAAAGTCTTCACTGACAGGCCCCACCCACCAATGCAGAGCTTCCTTAGCCAAGGATCACAGATACTTCACACCAGGCTAAATCTAAGAACACAAACTAAAGAAACAGGAAATGATGAGAAAGACACTTCAAGACAATAGAAACTACAAAGGGAAGAAAATAAAATGTTTCAGTAAGTTTGGTGAAGGCTGAGATAGTGATAAACAGAAAGTTAAACATGAAAATAAAAAGAAAAAGAAAATTATTGGCTCCGGAGAAAACAAAAAAGCTGTACAGGAAAGAAAAAGCATACATAATTTACTATATGGCTCAGCTCTGAATCTTGTTTAAAAAGCCATAAAAATATAAACACCAAATATGATCTAATCAAAATAATGCCATAAAAATATGCTTGGAGGATGGGGTAAAGGGAAGGGTGCATGTGTGTGGTAGGTGCATGTGGATGAAAGACCCCAACAGATAATGCCTAAAATTAAAAATCAAAAAGTACAGCAAGACAAGCATGTTCTTTGGGAACATGAAGTAAATACTAAATGAATCAGCTAAGAGTTGAAAGTGGTTGCCTGTGGTGTGCGAGAAAAGGGATATGAGGAGTGGGGCAACTACTGATTTTCAGGACAAACCTAAGTTTTTCCATTTTAAACTATGTTCATGTATAATTCTGATAAAAATTTAAAAAGCCATATTGGAATATATTTTTTTAAACGTTCCCATTACCATAATAAGCCAAAGCAACAGGTTTTTATTGATGGCAAATTAACTTTGAGTCTTGGTCATGCTCTCAGTTCTGGGATACAACTTTTTACATAAAGGAATGATTTCTATTTTCTGCCATACTTGGCATCAACCATCCCAAAGGAGCTGAAATTAAAGTTTTCCTCCCAGGGCTGTCATTCCTTTTTCTTTTCTCAATTTCTCTCTACTCCAAAGCTGAAGATCTGTAGTCTCTGGGAACTTCTCATTCTAGAAAAAAAGCAAGGGGATCCAAGAGTAACAAAAAGAATACACAAAGACTTTTCTCATTAGGAGAAATTCGATAGAGCAATTCTTTTCTGGTGCTTACCCATTCTTTAGGGTTTCTTTAAAAAACATTTTCCCTTTTGGTTTACTGACAAACATGGAACATATTTCTGTGTTGACTGTGCAGAAACCAATGAAAGATGATTACTTATGACTACAGAAAAATCACCTGTTCACAGCCAGGCTTAAGTGAACAATATGAGAAGGACTGTATAATGATCTAGTTTTAAAAAATGACAAGGCTACTTTTAACTAAGTATAATAATCTATAATTTCTAAGAATCTATATAGGTAAATAATATTTATGGATTCAGAAAAGTATATATCAATAGTGCTTTAGTAACTGAATCTCATCAATTATTAGAAGCATGTTAGGGGGCTGGCCCCGTGGCGTAGCGGTTAAGTGCGTGCGCTCTGCTGCTGGCGACCTGGGTTCGGATCCCGGGCGCGCACCGATGCACTGCTTGTCAGGCCATGCTCTGGTGGCGTCCCATATAAAGTGGAGGAAGATAGGCACAGATGTTAGCCCAGGGCCAGTATTCCTCAGCAAAAAAAAAAAAAAAAAAAAAAAAAAAAAAAAAAAAACAACGAGGAGGATTGGCATGGATGTTAGCTCAGAGCTGCTCTTCCTTACCGAAAAAAAAAAAAAAAAAGCATGTTAAATTAAGGAATAGTTTTTAAATTAATGACTGATAAACTATTATAAGAAAAGATAGAGTCATTTATTGAGGAAAATAGTAATAAATGCCCTTTACTTGAAAGCATTGATTCTTTATCACTAAAACTGGTTTTCAGTTAGTCAATGACAAGAAAAGAAGCAACTAACATGAAAATATTTAGTGCCTTAGTAAGATTACAAAATCAGGTATGTCAAAAATCTTGATGAATTTCATACTTAGTGGTTATACAGTAGTTACACAATTTCAATGGCCACAGAGAGAAAAAATTGTTCCTTTTATGACATCTACCATTTAAAAGTCTTCAAATGAGAGACCTCCAAAACTTTCATAACATTTTTTGTAAGGTAAATGATAATTTATCTCTTTGTAAAATTTTGATAACTAAGACATCTCAACTTTGTTTTTGAATAAATTGCCAAGTCCAACCAAAACAAAAAACAGTGTTTTGTGCTTTTAGAGAACCTTACAAAAATTTTAGCATATGAAAATGTTATGAAACAATAAGTGAAGAACTGCCACCTAAAACAAAATGTATCTGTTACCTTATCGCTTACCTGAAGTTTTTCACATGGTCTTCCACTCCAGAAAGACGAATCGAATGCTGCAGTGCATTCAGGTAGGTCAGGGCTTGTGTCGAGGACCCCCAGTTCACATCTGCAGGAAGACAGTGTTCATGAAGCTTAACACCAATACTAACAACCAATCGTTAACCAATTTGAGACACACAGAGAAGTAAATGGTGCTTTCACATTTAAAAAGTCAATTGCTAAAATAAACTACTGTACTCAGAACTTTCAATAGTTCAAGTCCATAGCATGACATTATGACCATGCTCATCTGAACCATAGTAATTGCATCTAAAGAAGAAAAGTACAATTTAGAAAAGACTAGGATGACAGAGCTGCACACATGCTATACACGCAACTCAAGAGTCTTTCACAAAAAAAGAAAAACATTTTAAAATTATTGTTTATGTAGCCAAAGGTCTAAAGGGAAAGAGACAGATCTCTGATTGTTAATAAGTACTACTTATAGTACTTAACAGTTTAAGTTATTTGAACAAGCAAATTTTATTGCTTATTGAATAAACAGCCTGGACATGAAATGATGGTTTTAGACATCTGTTACTTTGGAGACTTAACAGGCATATTAGAGAAATAATTGCTTCTAAGATGGTTAAAACAATACTTTCTTTGTCTATTTCACTTCTAAAGCCACCATTCTAATCCAAAACCTCATTGCTTTATATCTGGATTACAAAACGTTTCCACACTGTGTAAAACAACTACACCTCAACTACTTTTATAGTCCCTTCCTAATCTATTCTATTGGGCCAGAACTGTTCAAACCTTTCTCATTGGAACTTTCTTCTGTGTTATAGCTTACCATACTCGTACTGAACCAATCCTAACATACCCTAGCATCATATTCTTATGTGGAGATACACCCAACAGTTATCAATATGACACATCCTAGGTAATCTTTAACCGTTTCCCAGTTAAAGCATGTTTGTCCAATTTTCCCTGTTACACAGTAGGCTAGAGGGAAGATACTATGTCTTCTAGTATTTGTGAATTCTGTGGTACTTACTACAGTAAGTACTAAGACCACAGTAGGTAATACATATGCTTATTAGGCTAGCAGCTACTGGAGTACGGCAAATCTAATTCTTTTGAAGAATAATTTTAAAATATATTGAGTACAACAGAAAGTTAATTATATAAATGTGTTATTCTTCTACAAATAGGGTTAAATTTAATTTATGGGTAAGAATGGAATTCCATAGAATAAAAAGTCTTGTAGTAATTGTTTCATTAAAACTACATGTATTTGGAAATAAACTATTTTAGGGTTTATACAAAATTCCTCTCAAATATATAAAAGATGATGCCTAGATATGAAAAGTAAAACTTCTAGACGTTTTCTAGCTTGAAGTACTAAATAGAAAAGGCTACTGGGCCGGCCCCGTGGCTTAGTGGTTAAGTGTGCGCGCTCCGCTGCTGGCGGCCCGGGTTCGGATCCCGGGACCCACCGACGCACCGCTTCTCCCGCCATGCTGAGGCCGCGTCCCACATACAGCAACTAGAAGGATGTGCAGCTATGACATACAACTATCTACTGGGGCTTTGGGGGAAAAAATAAATAAATAAATAAAAGTTTAAAAAAGAAAAGGCTACTGACCCGGTTTTTTGTAGGTAACATAAATATATAGCCCAAGGACTATCACATATGTTAGCAATGCAGCCCACCAGTTAATGACAAACATCACTATGCAACAAAGAATTGCTCCAATAAGTGATATCCACATGTTGTAGTACTTGAATGCAGGACGCCATCCTAACAACAACAAATAAAATACATAAATCAAAGTCACTCAGAAACCTCATCTGCTTTAGACAATGGTATATATGTATGCACAAAATATCTTTCTTTGTGTCTGCTACACTGAGAGGGCTTTAAACATTAAGTATAAGGCTAATATAATAACAGTATAGTCATATACCATTATTGATCACAATTTAATTTCACAATTCTTGATGACCATGAAGAGGGCACATATATTTACTTCCACATTATTTTATCTTACTAGTTCTATATTCAATAAACTCTTTTTTTTATATTTATAAGTATAAATCAACCTACTCTAGTAAATGCTAAAAACTAGAGAAGATTTAAAAAGGAAGGTTTCAAATTGAGTCCTTAATAGTGTGGCTTTTTCTGGTTTTTACCATGAGACATATCCATATTCTAATGAATACACAAAACAGTTCAAACAAGATATTCTTGACAATTGTTAAAAATTCATCTACTTGCTAGAAAAACTAAGAATAGACTACAGAAACATATCTTCCCATTTGGAGAAGTATTTATGAATTAAGCTCACTCTAAAACATGTTGAAGACCATGTTTTAAAATTTTCATTCATAGGTAGTTTCACAGTCAAACACATTATTCTTAAATCATTTCAATAAAATTTATATTTTTTTAAAAATTAAACTTTTAATTGAGATAATGCAGATTCACACAAAGTTGTAAGAAATAATAGAGACTCCAAGTATACTTTAGCTAGTTTCCCCCAATAATAACATTTGGCAAAATAATACTACAATATCATAACTAAGATATTGATATTAATACAGTCAAGATAAAGAGGAGTCCAATACAAGGATCCCTTGTGTTGCTCTTTTATAGCCATACTCACATCCACCTCTAAAATTTATATTTTTACAACAAAAACTGAAGCTATAATTAATGCTATCTCAAATGCTTTTAAGATAAGAAATGGAGTATTACTAGTAAATTTCATGATAAAGAGATCTTTGAAAACTCACTTGACTCAACTGTAAAGGCAGACTGAGCATTAATGAGCTAATCCCACACACACTATCTTTTAAAATGTGTTAAAGTTTTATTTTCTCTAAAATCAAAGACATTACCATGTTTACAAAACTATCAAGAAATGTAAAATCACCTGGAGATTTTGCAAGCGATGCATGGAATACTGAAAAATTGATCAATGCATATGATGCAAGGAAGAAGTTAGAGATAATTGGAGCAATAACATTCAGTTCAGCTGCAAAAGAAACATGAGGCATACTTATTGACATATTAGACATTTTTTACCTTTACAAAATTATGAATTATTTCAAAACTTTAGATAATAGCATAATGAATACCCCTATATCCACCATCCAGATTTAACAAATACTTACATTTTGCCATATATACTTCATATACTTTAATTTACAGAAATCAACCCTTATTTACAGAGTTGAAACCCCATTTATATCTCACTCTTCCAAAGCTGGTAGATTCTTTCCAATTATAGTTTTACTACATACATATATAGTCCATAAGCATTATGTAGTACTGTTTTGGGTGTTTTAAAATTTACATAAATAATATCATACTATATATATCATTCTGCAATTATTTTTTTATATTTATTATATTTGAGATTCATCCATATTGATACATGAAAACCAAGTTTACTCATTTTTTAACTGCTAAATATTATTCTGCAGTTTCATTCTTCTGCTGATAGGTACTCAGGTTGCTTCCATTTGTCACTATTAGATTTAATGCCACTAAAAACATTCTTATAGCAGGCTCTTTGAGTATATATGTGAGTTTCTCTAGGGTACATACCCCTAAAGAGAATTGCTGGATTGTGGGAAACTTTACTAAAAACTGCCAACTTGTTCTGCAAAAGTAGTTACAATAAATACATACTTAGCACCATTACATGAGAGTTAGTGTCCACACTTAGTAGTATAATCAGACTTTTAACAAAAGTCCAATATCTTCTTCAGTATAGCGGAAGACCCATTAGCTCACTTGTGATCAGAGGCACAAGTGCCAAAAGGTAGATCAGCTGAAGCTCTACCTTGACAGGGAACACTGGAATCCTTTTCCTTATGCTATTACTGTATTTGTTTTAGTGACAAGAACCTGGGAGTTCCCTCTAGTTCTAATAGGGACTTAGTGATGGTAATAATTCTGGTAGATATGTATTGAGCGCTATTATTTGCAGTATTTTCTAAACACTCTTGTTTAATCAGAAAGAAATTAACTTAGTACACAAGGTAAAGTAACATTTTGTTTATAATTTAATAATTCAATATTTAGAGCTAATACTCTAAATGCACCAAAATCTACATTAGCACACCATTTATATGACTAACCAATTAAGATGAATCCAAGTGCAATTAAAAATGTTAAGATGTAGCCACGAAGAGGTTCATTATTTTTCCCATAACCTTTAGCAAACATCTGGAAAGCTGGGTAGATGTTGTCCTTACATAGAGCCTAATGAAGAAATGTAAACATTAAAATGAAACATACCAAAATTAAACATACAGATTTGCTTACAGTTACAACAGACTAAACAAGAATGGAACCCAAGTTTCTAATTCTTGGTCTGGTTTTTTTCCTCTGTCTCACACTGCTTCACTTACCGACTGTAAAGGAGACTCAAACATTTCAAGCATCAGAAAGGTAGTTGGTTTAGAATACCACTGAAGTTTTTATCCACCTTATCCCACCCCTATGTTGAAATTCTTTTATGAAGAAGGAATCAGAGAAGCAGGCATACAAATAAAAGAAATTTGGAAGCTTGATCAGTATAACAAAGGTGTGACCAAGTCCAAATCCTAGACTTACACACAAAAATCCTATTACAGAACTTAATCACGTTTCCTAAAACATCACTGAGAATTGTTTTAAGAAGAAATATATTCTACACCTTTACTGTACTAACTGGCTACAACTACAACATTAAGAACAAAGCTGTAGAATCAACATTTCATTTGTTTGATTTAGTAATAAGTATTTCCTATTCAGAATCAGCTATTTGTTCAATGCTTATTAAAGGGACATAATGTCTATCTTATTCATCATTATACCCTGAGTACCTAACACAAGGTGTGGCACATATTAGGCATTCAAATATTTGTAAAATAAAACCTTTAGGTTGACATCATGCTAAGAGGAACAAGATACTTTAATTTTTCTGATTTATGGTCTTGGACTGTACTCCTTATCCTTGATAAGACATTATGAAAATTTATGCTAACAAAATATGTCAAAAAAGCAAAAATCCATCACCACTTCAAGAAAGACAACTCAAAGACTACACCGACAGTAAGTAAATGCACAAATGTTTATACAAATACACATATTCACATTTATACGCATAAAGTTAAATATACCAGTCTTGATACATGTGTGTGTGTATCTATCTCATGTACACATATGGGGTTGACAGAAGTAAACAAATGATTTGAAAATATTAATAATCCTAAATTGAAATATATTATCTTAGGGCCAGCCCCATGGCTTAGCGGTTAAGTGTGCGTGCTCCGCTGCTGGCGGCC